ATCAAAGGGGATACTAAAGCACACCAAATTGGGGCATATTAAATAATATAGGTTATTGAAGGGATTTTATGAGAGCATATATGTGAAGTAATACTGAGAAGTGTCTGGACCAGTGATGTCTAAGGTAATTTTTGGAGAAATCCATAAAGCTTTGTATTTGCTATAGTAGAATACCTGCCACAGTTTTCTAGGACTTGGAGGCTAGGACAGTTAAGAAGTGGGTATTTTATTACTTCTATAAAACCAGAGAGGAAAAAAAGACTTAATTTGCTCAGCTTGCCAAGCCATGATTTTTTTCTGATTCACCCTCATTCTTCAAAGTCACTTTGAAATGTAAGTATAAGAGGTGATAGAGAATTATTTTAATTATCATTAAAGGAATTATAGCCATGGAAAAACAGTACTGGACACTATGATTCACAGACAGAATTCCATTTTTAAAGAGCTATGTATGCTCTCTCTGGGGAGAGAGGCCTGCAGGCTTAAAATTTAGTGTACCATCTTTAAAAGGCTGAATAAGGCCACCAGGGTCCAGAGGAGAGAGAAATCAGTTTCTGGCAGGGTCACAAGTGATGACTCAGAAGATATAAGAACACCTCTAAAGGCAAGAACACTTAGAGCAGTAAAGAAGGGATAATCTTGGGGGAGAACTCACATTGAAAGCTATACAATAAAGGGAACAATAAAATAAAATAGAAAATGACCAGAGAGGCCATATTTGGAAGTATACAACACATACAATAAATGAAATAATAAGAGAAAAGTCTTCTCATTACTAATTTACATCTTTCATTTGCCTGGAAGTGAGAAATTTGTTAAATATGGCATTTAGAATTTCCCTGTAGAGAAGGAAGCACAATGGAGTATGGTGCTGGAGTATGGGTAATTTGGTGGTGGGTGTACTAAGGCGACAATACCTGATAGGGATATCCAAATATTACCTAAATTAAAAATAAAATAATTTCCCTTGAAGTCATAATACAGTTTAGGATCGATACTGATAAGTTAAATTTTGCTTACAAAGGATTTCTTATTTAATCTGGAGCTATATATCACTCTACAGGAATGATGTCAGTTCTGTGAAGAAAAATCAGAACTATTTAATAAAGTCAATTTGAAGCAATACAAAACATTCTCCTTCAAATAATTTAGAACAAAAGTTCCATGGCTGAGGTGAATTCACTGAGATAGTGGCAGAGGTCATTTCTGATTTCAGTCTCATCAAAGACCAAGAATCAATTACCCATAGATAAGACATCACTGGAAAAATTCTAGATCCTGAGGGTGAAACTGAAGTACCCTACTGAAACAGAGACCAAGAAGGAACTGTTTAGACAGTTAAGAGGTTTTACTTTGATAGCATCATCTCTTCCATCACCCAGCACAGCACCACCACAACAAGTGAGCCTGCAGCCCTGTCCCACTGCTGAACACAGCCTCTGACCTTGTCCAATGTTGGGATACAGCCAGTGACCCTGCCAAATTGCAGAGCATGGCCTATAGCTCCACCCAACAACATAGCCCGGACAGTGAACCTGTCCAACCATGAAGCATAATAGTGAGTCACAGCCAATTGAGAGATACAGCTGGGGGTCCTACTTAAGAGGAGTGTCATACTTTCTGATCTCAAACTGTATAAATACAAAACTATAGTTATTAAAGCATTATGGTAGTGGCATTAAAGCAGACAAATAAACCAATGGAACAGGATTGAGATCTCAGAAATAAACCAGTGATTATAAAATCAGCTAACATTTGACAAAGAAACCAAAAATACATTGAAATGTGGCATTGGGAAACTGGATATTTATATGCAGAATGAATCTGTATAGCTATCTTATACCACTTATAAAAATTAACTCAAAATGGATTAAAGCCTTAAATGTAAGACCTGATACTATAAAATTCCTAGAAGAAAACACAAAAGAAAACCTTCATAACACTGTTTTAGCAACAATTTTTTGGATATGCCACTAAAAGCACAAGCAACAAAAGTAAAAATAAACAAGTGGGGCTAAATCAAAATAAAAATCTTCTGCACAGCAAAGAAATCATTAGCAAAATGAAAGGCAACCTGTGGAATAGAAGAAAATATTTGCACATCATACTGTCCCATGTGTTAGATAAGGAGTTACTGTCCAAAATATTTAAGGAAGTAGCACAATCAAGAGCAACACAAACTAACAAAAACCCAAGAAATCTGATTTTAAAGTGGACTAAGTACTTATTTGAATAGACATTATCTTGAAGAAAATATACATGGCCAACAGGCACATGAAAAAGTGCTCAACATCACTAATGATTAGAAAAATGTATATTAAATCCATAATGAGCTAGCACCTTATACCAGTTAGAATGGCTATCATCAAAAAGACAAGAAATGAAGTCCTGGTGAGAATGTGGAGAAAAAGAAATTCTGTGTATTTCTTGGTAGAGTTTATGGTAGTATTATGAAGAATGTTATGGAGGTTCCTCAAGAAATTAAAAATTTAACCACCATATAATCCAGCAATCCCACCTCCAGTAAATATCCAAAGGAAATGAACACAGAATATCAAAAAGATATCCCATGTTTATTGCAGAGTTATTCACAATAGCAAAGCTGCGGAATCAATGTACGCATCCTTTGATAGATGAATGCATATAGAAAATGTAGCCTATATATATATAAATATTATTTAGTCATGAAAAGAAGGAAATTCTGCCATTTGTGAAAACATGGATGGACACTGAGGCCATTACGCTGTATGAAATAGACAAAGACAAATATTATATGATCTTATTTATATGTGGAATCCAAAATATCTGAATCATAGAAACAGTGGATTGCTGATTGGCAGGGACAGGGGTTGATGAAGTATACAAACTTCCAATTATAAGATAAACTCTAGGGATCTAACCTATATCATGGTATCTGTAATTAACAATACTGTAACACATATTTGAAAATTACTAAGAGTAGATCTTAAAAATACTAAGAATGGGGCCTCCCCTGGTGGCTCAGCAGTTGAGCGCTGGGCTGCAAAGCTGCCTGCAGCCTCTGCAGCGCAGGTTCGATCCCCAGCTGCCGGGCGAGGGTCCCACATGGCATGCAGACCTCTCCTGCGGCGCTCGCTGCTCCCCTCAGCAGTGTACTTTGTCAGTCTGCCTGTTCTGTTCACCGCTCTAGCTCTGGTGAATTCTCTCACGCTCCCATGCTTCTGACTATACCCAGTGCTTGTATAAATAAATAAATAAATAAATAAATAAATAAATAAATAAATAAATAAATAAATAAATCTTTAAAAACAAAAATACTAAAAATGCAGCTGCCATATGATCTGGCAATTCCATTACTAGGGATCTACCCAAAGGACACAAAAACAGTTATTCAAAAGAGCACCTGTACACCTATGTTTATTGCAGCACTATTTACAATAGGTAAAACCTGGAAACAACTCAAATGCCCAAAAATAGATGACTGGACCAAGAAGATGTGGCATATATACACAATGGAATATTATTCAGCAATCAAAAAAGATAAACTCATGCCATTCACAGCAACATGGCTAGAAGTAATTATGCTCAGTGAAATAAATCAGAAGGAAAAAGAAAAATATCGGATGGTTTCACTTATAACAGGAATATAGGGGAGCCATAAGACATCAGTGTAAAAAAAATAACAACAGTGCAAAACACAACAAAGCAAAAACAGACAATTATAAACCAGAGACATCCTGCAGGGGAGGAGGAGGGAGAGGGATCAGAGGGAGGGAGGGAGGAGCACAGGGGACTGTGGTGATGGTGCACGGGTGCCTTGGGGAAGGAAATTCTAAGGGGACTCAATATGAGGGGGTGGGCGGAAGCAAATATTGTCTAAAAAATGTAAAAAAAAGATAAATGTTAAAATAAAAAAAAGTGGTCGAGATAAAAATCAATATATCCTAAAAAAAAAAAAAAATTCTTACCATACACATACACATAAGGCAACAATGTGAGGTAAGTGTTAAATATTGTGGTAATCATTTAGCAACACAAATGTATAACAAGTTACCAAGTTGTACAATTTAAATTTACACAGTGTTATATGTCAATCATATCTCAATAAAGCTGGAGGAAAAAAAGAAGTTCCATGGTTTATATGACACATGGAAAAAGTGTCTTTTCCATGGATGTTAAAACTTATAATCAGTCCTTGGTTTTTTCCTCTCTCAAGCCACAATTCCAAACCTCCAATTATTACAGGACATATAAAGTCAGCAGAAATTTTGTGTGTGATGGAATACTATTCAGCAATCAAAAATGATAAAGTCAAGGTATTTGCAGCAACATAGATGAAGCCAGAGGGGTTTATGCTAAGTGAAATAAGCCAGGAGAAAGATAAATACCAGATGGCGTCACTTACAGGTAGAATAGAGTGAAACCAAACTAAGAGTCAGACAAAGATAAACTTTAACACCAAACTTTTTTTTTATTCTATACAAGAACTGTGGTACAGGCCAGAGATGCGGGGGGTGAGAGGACCCACCAGAGACAGAGTGGGGAACAGAACAAGCAGACTGATGAAATACACTGCTGAGGGAAGCAGCGGGCGAGACAGGAGAGGTCTGCTTGCCATGTGGGATCCTTGCCTGCTGGCCGGGATCAAACCAGAGCTGCAGAGGCTGCGAACACCTTCACAGCACGGCGCTCAACCGCCTGCGCCATCAGGGGAGGCTCTAAAACCAAACTTTGAAAGCTGACCACATATCTTTCAGAAGATGGGGAAAGTGGGGGACAGCATGGGTCTGGTGGGGGCAGGCCTAAAGCAAAATGCTGAAGGATTATGGGTGCTTTGGTGGTAGGAGTGTTATTGTGACTACACCTGAGGGAAAGGGTTTCAAATACTCTCGAAACACTAGCAAGGATGTAAAACAATGGCACTTCAGTACAAATAAAAATAATGACTAAAAAAAAAAGTGTGTGTGTATACACATAGGGGAATGAGATGACTATTTGACAAAGAACTTAGCAATACTCACCCGAGGGCCCATTACACCTGGACTACCTAAGGACCCTGTGGTCCCTAGTGAGCCTGTCTCTCCTTTTTCTCCATCCTCTCCAGGAATTCCCTTTCCTCCTGGGGGTCCCTGTAATGCAGTAAAAAAAAAAAATTAAGAATGGGAAGTCAGAAAAGTAATTGTATCATAAGCAAATTTTTATTTGGCACACAAAAATAATTAATATTCAAAAAATTTCACAGAAACATCTACATTATACATAATATTAAAAGTATAATTTACCTTTAATCCATCTATTCCTTGGAGACCTTCTTCTCCAGGAGCTCCTGGTTCACCCTATTTTGTAGTAGAAACAGATTTATTATTTTGCTACATGATTTATCTTTATTTTTGCCCCCTGGCATCTACAGAAAGTAGATTTGTGTATTTATTCCTATTTCTACTTTATTTCTAAGGAGGATTTAACAGTAAGAGCATGATTTAATTTAGCTGAAAAACTCTGAAGATAATTTAAAGAGACACAACATTATAAATTCAAATACAAGATGGCACCAGAATATTAAAATCTCTCAGATAATTAAAGGTGATATACACTAACGTGGTAACTCTGGAAATTTATACAGCCTAATGTACGTTTCTGAGTTAAGGACAGAATATACATTCTGTACCTCACAAAATTATATTACCTTGCCATACTGAAGGTACATGGGTTAATGTAAACTAAATTTACTTCAGTTAAATTTTGATCACTATACCACAGTTTTAGGGTCTGTGTTTTCTACCCTACAAAAGAGAAACAGTGATTAAGTTCCAGGTAATCATCAAGAAACTGTCTTCTAGCTAGAGAATTTATGGAAATGTGGAGCCATACTTTATGAAGCCAAAAGTAGCACCGGCTCTGTTGTTGTATGAACAGTTTAGAAGTAAACTAATCAGTGCTTTTTCATGGTTGCCCCATTATTCCCTCCAGAGATATTTCCATTACCCTGATTTTCCACTACCCACCCCTGTAAAAAAAAAAAAAAAAAAGGGAAAATGAAAGAAACAGGATGCAAAACTAATCCCCATACTTTGCCTTTTAGTAAATAAATGCCTCTTAAAATGATTTCAGCAACTATCTTGTTAAAAAAAAAAGCCTCAACCACAGTTAAAAGGTTGTCTATATAAGAATAACTTCTGTAATCTAATTACAACTATTTACAATTATTTCCATGAATCATGTTAACATTGCATTATTCTAATTTATTTATTTTTTGTTAACCTGTTTTGTTAGGTTAAGAAATATCCTGAGTACTGATCACTAGATTTTGTCAATTTCTTCTTAATGTCAACATTAAGAAGCAGCTATCACAGCGACTCCACCTATTTGGCCAGGGTTATGGAGAGTTCTTCTGATTCTGAGAAAAGGATATAAGAGGTTAGAACTCTAAAGCTACTAGATTATGTCAACATTTTGAAATGATCAAATAAAGACAAACATTTTCTATAAAGCACCAGAAAGGTTTATTACACTATTTTCTGAAGTCTTTAGGCTAAGTTTTTATTTGCTGAAATAGGCAGACCAGTGCATTAAGACGGTCTCCAGTAGGCACTTACTCGTAACCCGGGCTCCCCAGCAACTCCAACAGTGCCTGCTGGTCCAGCATCTCCCTGAAGGAACAAAGGAAAGATTAAAATGGTGTGTCCAGTAATCACAGAGGGCATATCATAAGGAAAGGGGTTCCCATTAGTTCCTGTTTTATCTGCTGTTCTGGTACTTGCCATCATGTGGAAAACACAGGGGACTCAGTGAAAATTTAGAAGCCCTCCCCTTTATTATTTAGGACGATTACCTTTGTACCTGGCTCGCCTTGCAGGCCAGATTCTCCCTCAATTCCCGGAGGTCCCTAGAAGAGAATGGTTAGATATATGTGCACACTGCGTCACCAATTACAAGGACAAACTCATAAGAAGATGGTAGTCATTTTTAGCTCAAGGGTGAGATAGGGTCTTTGCTGCCCCTTTATTAATTTGATGGCATAGACCATATAATTTCTGAGACCTTACAACAGTTCAGATACCAAAACAATATCATTCTAAATCAGGACTTTTAAGACCAGTTTCTTCTTCTCCTTTCTCTCATTCTTTAATCCATGGTCAGACTGAAAGACAAACTACCTCCCATTGTCTCTTCTGATTTTTTACCTTCCCATTATGATATTCTATGTTTTCTTTCTGACCCTTTACTCTCCCCATCCATTTCTGTTGAGCTCTCCAGAAAACTCTCTATTAAAAAATCAGTTTTCTTTATTGGTTTTATAAAATATATCATGCAGTAAAAATAAAAATTATTTACATTGAGAAAGATTAATCAATTAATTTATTTGAGTTGGGTTCAGTTAGAAAACTTTGTTTTCCTTCTATCTTGAAAACACACAACATCTTGCAACTTCTGACTATATCGAGGTCAGGAGCTCGACAATGGCTGTGGTATTGGTTTTGTGTCTCAGAGATATGTCTTGTTTTTGAGCAAATTATGTATGCTCCTCCTTTCTTTTCCTCCCTCCCTCTCCTCTCTTGTTCTCTGAAGAACAGGACTGGGGCTTTCTATTACTTTGCGTGCGTGTGTGCGTGAGTGCGTGTGTAAACACACAAATACACAATTTGAAACACACACATGTCTACTACAATTCCCATGGTTTTATATTTAAAACATTCACTCACAATACTATTTTGCCCCAAAGTATTTTGTTTGCTTTGTATCTTTTAGGGATTTCGCAGTATTTCAGATCTATGGTTGAGAAACTTATCTGTATGTCATTGCAGCATTAAAAATTTTTCTTGATTGAGGTAAAATTAGTTTATAACATAGTATATGATTTGGAGGTATAGATTCACACCTCTTCAAATATATGTTACTACACTCACCACCAAGATACCTAGAGTCTTTCAGATGTGAGGAAGTGTAGTTTTCTATTTTGACGCAGGCTCACAATCCATATTCACTTTTTTTAAAATGCAAACTATACATGCACAACAGTACACATGGATTTATAACAAAAACCCCAGCCACATTCATCAATGGCTATTATTTTTTAAAATAATTTTTCAGTTCTCCTAATGTTAATTCTATAACTTAAGAAGTATACCTTACTTCTTGATATACCACTTTACTAAAAGCTTAGTTGCTTTATACTCTTTCTGTTTGACCATTATTTACCCAATTTTAAAAGTTCTATTGTTTAAATTTCCTTTTAGTTGCTTTTGTGATGTTCGGGTTACCAGAGACAGTATAGTCTGGTACTTAAGAGAAAAAACTCTGTGGTGAGACTGTCTGGGTTTCTGATGCCTCATAAATGACAGAATTTAATATCCCACTCTTGAGAGAGGATTCCAGTTCTTTAGGGACTTCCTTCATTGCCTTTAATCTCATAGACCTCCTTCAGCCTCTAATTTTTCCCAGTCTGCCAGTCCCTTTCTTTTCTTTCTTTCTTACATTAAATCAAACAGTCAATCTTCTGGTCTCTGTGTACCTCTTTCCCTATGCCAGTAATGGATTGGCACATTATTGTAAATTGCCTTCTCCATTTCTAATACCAGTTGAAAACTGCTGAAAAATGACACCTTTGCACAAAGAGGCATCACTACATATTGAGAGGCACAGTGCTTAAGAGAATGGGTTCTGGGAGGAGAGCACCTGAATTTAAACCCAGGTTCTACCACTACTATCTATTGCTCTTGGAGCAAATTATTTAACTATTTCTTGCCCTAGTTTCCTCACCTTAGAATGAGAATAACACACCTATCTCATAGGAATTCTGTGAGAATTCATTCACATGGGAAAACACATAAATGCCGGCAGGTACATGAAAACTGCTCCACAGATTTTCACTATTATCATATTACTATTAATGTGGTACAAATTCAGTCTCCTACTTCAGCTTGAATTTAGTAAGATTAAAAGAGAAAACATGAGTTTGAGCTATCAAGCCAAGAGTTCTCAGACAATATTGCTCGTTGAGGTCACTGATAGTATGATTTTGAAGCTGAGGAAAAGAAAGTACAGTTACACATTAAGATTCAGAAAGGCTAATACAATTGCTCTTGATGTAAAAGCAGAACTAAGAGAAAGCAGTTTACAGAAGGAAGATAGTATGTCTGACTTATTTAGTGGTAAAAGTTAACAAACAACAAAAATGAAGTGGCAGGATTTTAAAATTATAATAAGAGTGGTTGATTATTACAAAATATACCCCGGATAGCAGCCACCTCTCAATATTCTTCTATAAAGGATATATAATACTTTCTAGTGAAGGATTATCAGTATAATTCTAAATCAGTAGAGGGGAAGGATTATTCACTTTTTTATATCACTTAAATGAACTGTTAAAAGGAAAACTTTAAATGTGTAAAATTAGGTACAGTATTCATCCTTGATTTTAATGGAATTTTTTTTTTATTTTTTGACTGCACAAAATACTATAGAATTATTCTTCATAAAATATAGCTAATATATCAACTTTGACATTAGAAGAATCTTTAAAAAAAAGCATTGGGTATTGAACTAACAAGAAAGAGCTCCCCCAAATTACCTCAGCACCCATTTCTCCAGGGGTTCCAGTATCACCTTGAAGTCCTCGTGGTCCCTATATTAAAAATAAAATTTAAGATCTGAGAATCAGTTTTGCTTTATTAAAGTTTACTAAAACTAATACTCATAAAATTAATAAAATTAAAACTCCTGAGTCTGATTTTCATCTTACTTTCTCTGAAGTTTCATCCTCTTCTACCAACATATATTAAATATAGAATTTCTTCAAAATTCAGCCTTAGATCTCCTTTTCTTATGCCTAGGCCAGTGACTCAAATATTTTTAACTTCAGTACAGTCCATAACTAAAGCCAACTTCACCATTCTCAAAGACATCTCAAATTCAACGTGGCTAAACTGAATTTATAAACTTTCATTCTCAAACCTAGTTTTCCACCAATATTCCTAGTATCTTCTCATTAGGTCTTCAAGCCAGAAACTCAGGAATCATATGTCCACATACAGTATACCTCTTGTTGATTTTATTTCCTTCTGAATATTTTACATCTACCCACTTCTTTCCTCTGCTAAACGAAAGGGCTCTTTTATCTGGATTACTGTAAAAGAAGGTCATTCTTGGTCCTTTCTAGTTTGATCTCTATTTTCTCATTTGAATTATCTTTATGAAACAATAATCTGGTTATAAAACTAGCCCTATCCCATCCATGATATCTCTCTGTTCTTAGGGTAAAAATACAAATTCATGGGAATAGCACTCATGAATTTGTATGTGTTTTGGTTCCTGCCTCCCTGTCCATCCTTACCTTGCACTACTCCCAGCTAATGACTTCTCATTGGAATGACCTTCCCACATTTTTTCCCAGGTAGTTACTATTGATCTTTCAAATCAAAGCTCAAATGCTTTTCCTCAGAGAAGTTTACACAATCCCACATTAGGATAGTTTTTCCGTTATTTGTTCTCTCAGAGCTGGATTCCGATACTTTCTGGAAGGTATCTCATTTGTAATTATTAGTTTACTTCTGTGATTATTTCATGTGTACTTCTATATTGGACTGAAAACTCCATGCTTACATTACACTCCAAATTCTTAATAACTATTTGTTGAATGAATGGCCAACTATTCAAATCCCAATACTTGCACTGTAGTGAAGAAAGCAGTTTTGAAAACTGTCTGGAAAAAGAAAACAACTCTAACCAGTATTGGAGATATAAAAGCTGTATACTCCTAGTTTATTATTCTCAAATATAAATGTTTCAATATGACTTCTAAGTCCATCATTTTACCAATTTTCTTTTGTTATTTTCTTTTCTGATTTGACCATGCTCCTTGAATATATACAGTAAATTCATTATATCCATTATAAAATGATTTATATTTTATTTACTGTCTCTGAATTGTCAGTTTCAAGATGCTATTAAGCAATTTAGTCATTTATGGCCACAATAATAAATCCTTCCTTTATAAATCCCAAGATATTGTCACTGCCATTTCCACAACTCTACTGACACACTTAACTTAAATATGTTCTTTATTAAGATTAAATTAGTTTTCATTTCATTACACTCTATCTGATATTACTGGCTAAAGGATTATGCCTTGTGTAAATGACTTTTTTTGGTCAATTCAGTATAACAAACATGTATTGGGTAGATATACCAGGGAAGAGGATTACAAATAAGAAATGGTGTTTGACTTTAAGGAGCTACAGACTTCTCAGAAGAAAGACGTATTTAAGTAAACACTGCTAAAGAGAGTTGTGTTATTTTTGATGAAGTAAATATTAGAACTGGGATAGCTGGTTAAAATGTACTAAATAGGGAGAAGGTTAAAGTTTAATAAAATCAATGCCATATCAAAGATGCTGTGGAATGAATTTTATATAGCCAACTCTTTATTTATTGTTTAGAGAGTTCACATCATAGTTAAATATGTAAGGGAGGGCAGGAACACAGTTTGGTTAAATAACTCTGTGAGGGTTAGCATTTTCCACTTGCTGTTAGCTAAATGAATTATGCAGAGGTCACCTGTAAACATTTGTGTCAACTGATGGATAAGATTAGTTCAGTAGTTTGAAATACTACATTGTATTGTAAATCTTAGAAGCATGTTACAGCATATTACATCTGATACCACTAACCAGAATGACTTCATAGGCAATAAAGGATAATTTGTGAGAAAGTAGGTGTGACAAGTTCTTTCCTTTTTATAATCCATTTTCCACGGAAAGTCTGCAATTGAGTAGCATTTATGAAATTGTATTTGTATTCTTGATGTAACAGCATTTCTGTCATGTTTGTACCTTTTGGCCCATCAGATGTAGAATTTGGCTTCTCTAAATGGTCTTTTATTATAGAGTTGGGTTCATAAATGTGATTGTGTGTGTGGCAGTGTAATAATTATTGTACAAACAGCGAGTCATTCAGAAAGAAAATTTCTGAGATTCAGTAAGACAGAGTTGTCTTTGTTGAAAACAGAAATATGTGAAATTTTAACAGTTCCACAAAAACAAGAACAAATTTGACTGTATGAGACCAGGAAGGCACTAAACCCAATATCCACAGCAAAATTCTCATGCTGCATAACGAGGTGCTTATGATAAATGCTGCTTTCATAAAATATCAGATACAACACAAAAGTACAATAAAAACAGAAAGATAAATATACATTATGAGAAAAATACAATTAAAAAATATAAAGAGAAACTTACTGGCTCTCCTGCAAGCCCCCTATCTCCAGTACTCCCGGGAGATCCTGGTAATCCCTGAACAAAGGCAAAAGTTGAAAAAACAATGATGCTTGAGTGGTTTGTTTTTTTTTTTTTTTTTAACCTCAGTTTTACTTTACTATCCTATCACCCAACTTTTCTGTCTGCCTCTACATTTTTTCTTTTGTGGTAAAATATATGTAGCATAAAATTTGACATCCTAAGAATTTTTAAGTGTCCTTTGGTGGTAATAAGTACCTTTAGGTTACTGTGCCACCATCACCATCATCTATCTTTAGAAATATTTATTGTATTAAAGTGATAACTGAAATGTTTATCTTCTTAAACTCTGTCTTCATTAAGTAATGTCCTATCGCCTCTTCCTTCCCCAGAAAACTACCATTCTGCTTTCCATCTCTATGGATATGACTATTCTAGTAGCTCAAATAAGTGGAATCACAGAGTATTCTTTGGTGTTTGGCTTAATTTCACAAAGCATGTCTTTTCAGGGTTCATAGATGTTGTAATATTATGTGTCAAGACTTCCTTTTTAAAATGGAAAAATTTCCATTTTATGCATAAACTACATTTCATTTATCCATTCACCTGCCAAGGACCCTTGGGTTTTCTATTTTGGCTTTTGTGAATAATGTTGCTATATGCATTGATATACTGGTGTATGCTTGAATCCCTGTTTTCAATTCTTTGGGATATATACCTAGAAGTGGAATTGTTGGTTTATATCATAATTCTATACTTAATAATTGGACAAACAACTGAAATGTTTTCCAAGGCAGTCCCACCAATTTATATTCCCAAAAGCAAAGCACAAGGATTCCATTTTTTTCTACATCCATGTATTTCCAACATTGGTTATTCCCACCTTCCCATCCTCCCTTTCTATTTGTTTAATAATAGCCATCCTAAAGGTCATCAGCAGCATCTCATTAAGGTTTAGATTTGCATTTTCCCCAATGACTTGTGATACTGAGCCTACCTTCATGGTATAACTACTTTTAAGACAATCTACTTAAGTTCTTTTACTAATTTTTTCATTGGGTTATTTTGTTGTTGAGTTGCAGGAATTCTTTGATCTGCTCATGTTCTTATATTTAATCCACATTCCTAAATAGTGACAATTATTCATAATTATTTTAAAGTGGGGTTTTTATATTCTCACACCAGAATTGAAGACCTAGTATGTAACGAAGAATGTGAAATGTCTCATGAGCCATTTTTTTGTGAACCATTTTTTTATGAATCATTTTTTTAAAAATGTGATTTCAAATTAAAAAAAAAAAAAAAGGAAAAGCAGAGGAGCCTTAGATCCCAGAGGCCAGGACATGATCAAATTACACATCTCCAACTCCCTTTATCCTTCCCCATATTTATATCATGATTTCTGATTTTTCATGCAATTGAGTCTTGGATAGGGAAGTATATTCCAAAATGGTATATGAAACTCTATATCAAATTCCAGATTCTCTCTGATGCTCCCATTCAAAGATTATTGAACAAGTACTTTGTGCCAGAACTAATGACTATAAAACAGTGTCTCAGTCTATTAGCAATTTGTGTCTTCTACATTATTTACCTTGGGAAGTCTGGCAACTATAAATTTGATCACATTTATCATTTTATCTTCAAGCTAAAGACTAAGAAAAATTATGTTGTATAGAAAGTAAAGATATCCAAAGTTCCTCTCAACATACAATCTTCTAAATAATAATCATCAATGCTATATTTAGTTATGTATGGTTGTCTGGCTAGAGAAAGGAGATATGTTTTTCCACATTTATAGGAATTAAAAGATTCAATGGAGATCAAACTCAAGATTACCTAGATGTTAGATTTATCATAGAAGGATTTTAAAGTAGCTATCATATAAATACACTCAATAATGTAACTAAAAATATGCTGGTGAAAATTCATCCTAGCACATCAGAGTCACACTGCTGGAAGTCAAAGATAAAGGGAGAACCATGAAAGCAGTCAAGAAAATGAAATATTCAACACAGAGAAATAATGAGGAAGGTAAATGTGGGCTTTTCATCAGAAATATAATGGAGGCCAAAGAAAATGACATGTTATCTTTACAGTGCTGAATGAAAATAAGAACGAGAAAACTTCAACACAGAATTCTACATTCAGTGATAACAGTTTTCAAGGTTGGGTGTAAAACAGACATTTTCATAAACAGAAACTAAGAAAATCCATCACCAGCAGAACTTGACTGGAAGTTTAATGGATGTTCTATGAGCTGCAGTAAATGATAACATTTGAAAATGTACATCTACAGAAAAGGAATGAAGAGCACCAGAAAGGGGAAAACCATGGATACAGTTTTTAAAATTACTGCTTTCTATTTAAATATTTCTGAAACATATCATTTATATTAAACTCTTTATTTATATTAAAGAAAACATAGACTACACAGCTATTAGGAGAATGCTCTAGAACAAAAGTCAATCTGACCTTCAGTATATCTTTTCTATTACACAGCATGGCCGGTTTGTTGGCAGTACAGAAAGGGTAAAAGACACCAAGACCACTGTGCAAGATTCAAATAAATCTTTGTGACGGATTTCTTGAATTGAAAATCCTAACTTTCCCAAGATCTTAAAATTATGTTCCATTTCAATCAAGAAAACCACCCGTGTTATCCACTAAGATAACTTTACTCTTCCAGCTGCCTCTGGAAATTGCTTGCCATAAGCTTTGGTTACAAAATGGTTCTACTATCTTTTATTTGATTGAGAAAATAAAATTTCATATTTATCCAGGCATATCTGATAGTCTGAAAATGAAAGTGAAATTCTTAGGCATGTCAACAATGCATAGAGTAAGTAATTTTAGTTCTCTTGGCCTGCTTTTTCTAAAATAAGATGTGCTCCAAATTTATCCACTCATTGGGACACATTACCTTTGTAATACAGTGTAATAAAGTGGAAAGAATTCACAGAAAGACCATTTCCATTACTCTAATAGAAACCCAAATGGTAAACCTTAATACTCAGTAAATGTTCTTTTGGGATGACTTGAATTAATAAAATGAAATTTCACATACAAGTTCCTTGTCTGAACAGTGTTTTTTTTTTTTTCAGGTCTCTGTCAAACATGATGCTATTAAGGAAACAACTGGCAGGGGGCAGCAGATTTCAAATAGGAACAGGGAGATAGAAGTAACAGTGACAGTCACTATCGCTGCCTAAATCGTTGTGTCCAATTCCTTTCTGATGCAACAGTTGCCATCTATTTAAATTATTATCCAGGTTTATAACATTAAAATTTATATATGCATGTATATATAGAGAGAGCAAATTAAAATGTCAATCTTAAACATTATTATTCCAAATGAAAATTAATACCCATACTGTTTATATGCTCAAAATTATACATGTAATATATTATCATAATGTATATAATGGTCAATATCATATATATGCTTGTGTAGATATATTTATGTTGTATACATATATGTATATGTATTTTTCTCTTTTTAAAAACATTTTTCCCCTTAGTGATAGTCAAAGAACTTGTTGCCTCTTAGGGAAAAATTGAAATTTTGAAAATATTTTTTTGGTAGGAAATATCTAGTACAACACAGTGTTAAAGCTCCTAGAGTAATGTCATGTGAATGCACATAGTTATATATTATAAGGGTCAAAAATACTCAAATTGAGTTAAAATAAAAGTAGACAAGAACTCTCAAGAAGTTTCCTACATTAATGTCATTAATATTGCATTACATTTATATTTTATACCATTTTATTTTACAATGGAGTTTACAGAACAACTAATTTATCCTAACAAGGGTGAAGTTAAAGTAACAGTTATTACCATCAGTATAGGGGTTAAATATAACTGAGGTTCATAATGAGTAATCAATTGCCCCCCCCAAAAAAGAACACTGACTCAGTGATTACAGGAAAAGAACTTGTAATCTCTTAGTCTAACAAACTGAATACCACACAACAGCTGTGCCAGAGAATAAAGTGGACAGAAATTGCTTATGGTTTGATTATTCTTAATTACGTACAGGTTTTCCTTGTGGTCCTCTTTCTCCAGGCTTTCCAGTCTTACCCTACATGAGAAAGAAAATACTTTAGTAGTTCCTCTCCAAATATTAATCACACACCTAGAAAAACAGGGAAGATTTTAAATGTTTCTCTTCATTGTGAAATGCTTTGTTACTTACAGTAAGACCACAAGGACCTCTTTTTCCTTGATTTCCCTTTTCACCCTAAGAAAGTATCAGTAACAGGGGTTAATAAGAACATGAATGATCGTCTTATATGAGCTAGTGTACATGCTGAAAATGAAGATCTCAAGTGTATAATTCAGTATTAAAAAAAACTGAATCCAATGTATTGATGTTGGAATTTATTTATTGAAGTATGTGCTTATTCTAAAAGCCAGATGAATTTGGAGAATAAAATTTCATAAATTTCTGTGACTCAAAAAAAGGAAATATTTCTGTGTAATAAAAATTTTATATATGCTTCATACTTAGACAAAAGTTAGAATCACACTTTTGTAAGAAAATACGTATTTTTTGGGAAAGTGGGGCATAATAAAACTTAGCTGTGTGTGAAATGACAAAGTCAGTGATTACCTTGGCACCTTGTATACCTTGTTCCCCAGGGAGACCATCTAGTCCTCTTGGTCCCTGGAGATGGGAAAAAAAAATCTCTTGTTTATTTGAAATGGTCCCTTTTTTACCACTATACATTCTTACAAATGAAGAAACTGTGCTCTTCTGTAGTAGATAAACTCTTTCTGCATATTTCTGTGCCATGACTACAGAAAAGTCTACAGATGAACCCTTTTGCACAGAAGAATCAAGCCAGCTTTCTCAAGTGTTAAAGCCAAATAGTAAATCAATCACCACAAAAATAGCCGATTCATTTGCAGTGGTGGCTGTAACATAGCTATGTTATTGGAATATTTTGTTTACATTATCATTTATAGGACATCTTGAATTCATTCTGAAAACAACTATAAATTAAATCAACAGTGACTAGTTTGCCCAAAAATTGTCTTAAGTTTTATGTTTTGGAATAGCACACTGCTCTTCTTTTTATTAGAAAATAAGTGCTGGTTGCATTTTGTTTGCCATGAACCTACAACAGTTACAGGAAGGTGGCAGGGGCACAGAAAGAGTGACAGGAGATGCTGTTGGAAATATTCATGTAAATATGAATATTTCTCAGCTAAGCTACTATTGATATTCATTCATAATTTGCTGTAAAGAAGCATTAGTTGCAAAAGCAATTCTCAGGGAATCTGCCTCTTTGCCTAATTATAACTGTTCTTAGAAGATCTTACAGTCCTTTTCAAGGGAATTAATTCAACAAATGTTAACTCACCATCTACTGTGGAAAAGGCACTGCATTAATGTTTATGAAGATACACAATTAAAAAATAGTTTCTCCATGATGAAGCTTACAAAATAACTATAATATATAGAGACAAAGCATGTTAAGGGCTAAAAGGAGACAGTTTTGATTTTTTGTAAATGAAATGAAGCCATCATTTTGACAGTTGGAGATCATGCTCTTACAGACTTGTTTGAAACAGAAAGACTCTAGATAGAATGACAGTATGAAAAAAGGACACAGGAGCAGAAAAAAAAGATACCCAAGAATGGAAGAAATAGGTTTTTTTTCTTTTTTTAAGCTGAGCTATAACTTACATGTAGTATTTCTATACTAAGAAATGCTTGTGGATGGACTGGGACTTAGAAAATGAGGACTAGAGTTTATATTTAAAAATGAGAAGCCATTGAAGATTTCTATACAAAACAGTGATACAAATCTCCCAGTACCACATGCTGATTTGAAGGAGCTCCATAGGCTTCAGAACCTGCTCTAAGGTTAGTTTTGGTTTAGTTTATTATTAAAATTTGTTTACTATAATTGGATGCTCTTTGTGGGTGCTCTTAGTAACTACATGACCTGATCCTATAGGGCACATTCACGGAATTGGAGAGTAGACTCACATTGTATGGGGATCATAGCGCCATTGCTCATACTAACTTAAATTAAAGCCACTGCTCAGGTCTAGCCCTAACATTTCTCAGTCTATAGTTAATGTGCTCCATGATTTGTCCTTGACTTCCTTTTCTGCTCTCTATTCATTAAAGACTGAAAAACTAAGTTGTAGTCTCATTGTATAGGATCTTGAACATCAAGTTGATGATCATGGGCTTACTTTAATAATTGGGTGATTTTATTTAGTGTCTAAGCCAGTTACTACTTTAGCCCCAGGGCTATGGTCTGGAGAAGAGACAAATCCCTTAATTCATAAATTAGCAAACATATAAAACAAAAATAAAAAGTGACTACAGATAATCAAGTACAATGAAAAAAACAAAAGAAGTTAAAGGACTTGAGAAAATCCAAGGTGGGAGCACTATTTTACATAGGGTGGCCTGAGGAGTCTCTCTAAAGTGATACCTGAAGGAGGTAAGTCAGCAGGTCATGCAAATTTCTTTTTTTTTTTTTTTTAGGTCATGCAAATTTCTTGGGAAAGGTGACTGTGAGAAAACAGCAACTGCAAAGGTCCTTGGTGGGGGCATGATTAGAATGTTTGACCATTTAATGGTGATGGATAAAAGTATAATGGTTAACAAATGAAGTTTTAAGTGCAAAGATTCCTTAGAAACAGGCTCTAAGAATAACCTTCGTTGTAAAAATTCAGCAGCTTATATTGATCGTCCTGTATGGACACCTGTTTTGCCTGCATTGACACTTCCTCTGCCTATTTTCTTTTCTCTATACTGTAAGATGATACCTGGGGAAAAATTTTAGAGTAATACAGGAAGGCAGCAGAGAGGAAGAAAAGGAATGAATGGTCAACATTCTAAAATTCTATAGAAAACAAGAACTAGATTGAAAAGGTGTCCATTGGAGATTTGGGTAGTAAACCCCTTTGCAGCATGGAATTTCTATCTTTGATATTTTATTCGTAAATAACTGGTAGGCATTAGAAATAAAGGCATTTTTGGAAAAACAATTGGAAATGTAAGTTAGTTCTGGGGGGTAGATAATGAGTTTGACTCTACACAATTAACCACAATGAGGCAGTTATCTCCCAGACTAGTGCTAGAGAGTTAGTTTTCTGCCTACATTCACATGACAGCAGCCATAAGGATCAAGTTTCAAAAGCCTCCCTAGACACAGAGCTGTAAATTTAGAAGTTATTTGATGTATAAATTTATTTTCTTACAACTTGTTAATTTCTGGACAATATTTGATTTCTCCCCTCAGGTGTTGCTTCTGCAGTTCTCCCACCATCACAGCACTCATGATCCATCACCACAGTCCATTGTGCTCTTCCCTCCTGTTTTGACTCCTTTTCTCCCCCTCCCCTGCTGGATGCCTCAGATCTCTGGTGAGCTTACAAGTTTTGTCTTTGTCCTGACCCTTTGTTTGGTTCCTCTATGTTCGACATATAAGTGAAACCATCTGATATTTATCTTTTTTTTTTCTGACTTATTTCACTTAGCATAATCCCTTTCAGCTTCATCCAGACTATTTGGTCCAAAAATGACAAATAGGTCTCATTTCTTGGATAAAATCAGATTAAGTGGCTGTCTAGATATGTATGCAGAAAAGGCTTCATCTAGCTCAGGAGGAAAGTCTCATAACTAAGTGCCAATTTCTGTCTGGGCATACAAATCACCTACTGACATGAATGGATGAGTTCAAGCCCTGCCTTTTTTTTTAAAGATTTATTTATTTATGCATACAAGAACTGGGGTACAGGCCAGAGGTGAGGGGGAGTGAGAGGATTCACCAGAGACAGAGTGGGGAATAGAATAGGCAGATTGACTGAAATACACTGCTGAGGGGAGCAGCGGGCATGTCAGGAGAGGTCTGCTGTGCCATGTGGGTAGCTCCCTGTCTGGCCGGGGATTGAACTCATGTTGCAGTGGCTGCAGACAGCTTCATAGGTTGTGTCTTAACCCCTTGCACCACCAGGGAGGTCCCAAGTCCTGCTTTTTCAGAAGAGACTGAAGTCACAAATATAAATTAGCTGCCTGATTCATAAGAAGTCTAAATGCTCAAAGACTTTGAATAATTAGGCATTATAAAGATTATAGATTTGTGTCAAATAATGCAAAGAAATAAAAGTGAATCCTGTTAAGCAAGTGAACTCAGGCTGAAATGGAGGACCTGAGTTTAGAAGAGGTTTACAAAATGAACATTAAACATTTGTAAGTATTGAAAAGAACACCTTCCAAAATTACATAGCAATGATAGTCACCCATTATAAAGTGTTTTATATTAAAAATACTTTTACATTAAAAAATATGTTCTCATTATTACTAAACCAGACCTATATAGAGAACAAGAAGAAGTCTGTGTTCCTACAGTAATGACAATGGTGACCACATTTAGTTAAAATCAAGGAGATCTAAAGTATAGCAATTACACTCATTAAAAGCTATAAAGCCTAGAGTTGTTAAGAAATTAAAGCTGGCAGAACTCTAGGAAAGTTCAGTATTCCCTATGCTTCAGTTAAGGGTAAGTTAATTAAAAGCTTAGGTTTATCAGCTTCTTTAAGTTTCACTGATATTGGTTGTAGGAGTTATCCCTAGACTCCTGAAATTGGAAAAAAAAAAAAAAAAAGACTTAAGACAAGCTCTAACATAGTTAGACAACTAGCATTGTAATAGGCATCTAACTGGGCATGAAGTTACTTTTTAAATACCTGCTTTAAAATATTTGATTATAACAGTCTTGGAGACTGTAGGCTGATTAAATTAAAAAAAAATCTTTTATTTATCCTCACTTAGCTTGGCTACAATGGGTAACTACTGGTAACTTCTAAAAATTGAAATAAAATGAGATAGCTTTGTACATAAGGTAACATGTTTTAAAGAAGCAAGTACTTGAATTACATGCAATAATTTTAAAGAATAATCAAACCTAAACACTCAATTTAATTCTAAATGCACTGGAGACAGAATGACTGGAGACAGAACCACTACTTTATAGGAATGATCCAATTAAAAGGGGAAAAAACGATGAATAAAAACATTAATATAAATTGCATATGAGTTTATTTAGGAAGACTTAATGAAATTTCCACACACATTTCCATAACCCTAGTAATCAATTTTAATAGGCTAAATATCTAAGAATGAAAGAAACAACTCTACTCATAGAACAAATGTATTTTTAACTTGGATTCAGTATATTTGGATTTATTTTTAACCATATATGCCCGTCTTTGCTTGACTGTTAAATACCTAACTAATAATGCCTGTCTTTTCTGACTCTTGACTTAGACAGGTGGAACAACTGTTTCCTACCTTAAACAAAAACTATCTGTGATTCTGCAGAAAACTTTTGATTCTTCATTCTTGTTATAAACATTCTTTAGCAGAAGAAAACACAGAAGCTCTTCTGTGTCACCTGGCATACTCCAGGTATGATTAGCATTGAATCTAAACTTAAATACTGATGGTTGCTTTCCCAGTATGGTTTGCAATTCCCTGAAGGGTTCAAGTTCAGAATTTTACAGTCCTATCCATTCTACAAGTTGCATAGAAAATAAAAAAAAGTTACATATTTCTAATAAGGGTATTTCAATCTTCCTCTCCATTTAAATCTTAAGCATTATATTCAGAATAAAAATTATTCAGTGGTATGTCTTTATGTCACCCTCTATGCTAAAAATCTTCAGGATACCAGTTGTTTAGGGTTTTTTTTTTTTTTTTTTGATGGTGGGCACTGTTCTTTGTCTGAGCTTTTCATATTTCCTGAAAAAGTGCTAATGTCTGAGGTCACTAGACTTAAGTCATTAAATTATAAAATGCATTTGCTTTACATCTCAGTGCTAGTTAACCTTGGATCCCCACAGCACTAGGAAAGTGTATTATCAATTGCAGGAAATCAGTAGAAGTTAAATGGGTAGCAGGCAGATAGGCAGGAGGAAGGCAGATGGGTAGGTAGTCCTCATGGGGAATGGTTCTACCATTAACAATGCATACAGGAATATTTGCTAACAGTATAAATCACAGGCAGAAAGTATTGGCACACAAGGACTAGCTCTAAAATAAGAGTTATGGTCTCAGTGCAAACATATCTAGGGTGCAGCTTCTCCTCCAAGTAGTATGCACCATTGTGTGCCACAAAGGGGTTACCTGTGAGCTAGAAATATTGACTCCCATCAGCCTTTGGGATGACAGGGAAGGGCTGGAGCACAGGAACTCTAAGCCTGACATTTTTTCAATTATCTAAGTGGGTTGGACTTCTAGTCTCATTTTTTTTTTGTAGGTGAAAAACATGGGAAGGACCTACAATGTTGACATCCCACCCATGCAGCAAGTGGATTGATGGGAAGAGAACAGAAATAGGATGATACTAAGTGACAACTAGATTGTAATTCCTAATACCATTCTTTCTCAAATATTTTAGTCTTTAGTTCTCTTTGTATATCTAGTGTTCCTTGATTGCTTATAACATTCTTTGTAAAGAAAACACTTTTATTCCAACAAAACCATTATTTCTAAACAGGATTTTGTTTTGTTTTGTTTAAAAAGCACTACATGACTTTAAATAACGATGAAAAAGCATTTTGGAAGAGAATCAATTAAATGTGTTTGGAGGATAAGAGCAAAATAAACCTTTGAGGTAAGAGTTGAGGAAAAAGCAGTAAATCAGGATAGAGTAACAAACTACATAGGACTCATGGGGAAGCTAAAAAAGCAGAGTCAATGAACTTTCCATATGACTTATGAGATAGCACAAATGATTCAGGAGAAGATCTTCCTTAGGTTCATGACTTCTGCCTGGATAGTGATAAGATCTCAATTACTTAATTAACAAATTACATGAATAAGAACTTTTTTTTTTCCATCCATCACAAGACTGGTTGAACTTTTCCACTATGACTAATACAAAGTGGAATAAACACATTCGACCTGACCAAGTCCTGAATGCTGGCAGGGTACAGACCATAAAATGACAGTTTGGGTACAGATCATCTGTTATATTAAATTTTATTATTTTTAATCTCATTGGGGTTAAAATAGATGTGGTCAATGAGATATTTATAGACTGTAAATCTGTAACCCACTAAACAGTTTTTTCAGAAAAACTGTAATAGTAAAGACAAATTTGCTCTTTCTTTCATTTTTATCTAAACACAGGGCATACAATTAAAGTTATTTCAAACAGGACATTCCTAACACTTCTCTCTTATTTGCAAACTAGAAAATTCAGTTATTGTTTTTGTGCCTTTGTTAGTTAAAGATCACACTTTTAGAATCTTTAAATATTCTCTTCATTACTCTAAAAACCAGTGTAAAGCCAAAGGAGAAAATAGAACTCTTAATGTCTACATATTCAAATTAATCAAAGAAAAAAACCTAATATTGTTTGTAGTATTAAGTATAGGGTTAGGTGTCATCACTCTAACATTTGAATCTTGATTGAGTCATTTCTGTGTGCATCTATAAGTGAAATGCTTCCACTCTCTGAGTCCTCAATTCTAACATACAACATATCGCCTTCTAGGGTAGTTTTGCATATTATATGTAAAAATATCTGGCATGTCACAAACATGCAAAAATGGTGGGTCTTATTTCTTTAAAAAATTAGAACTTAATGTTTAAAAGACTTAAAGAGTGAAATATTTTTAATTTGACTCATACATAATTATTAGTAATGATGATTTAATCACCTCTGGTTTACAATCAATAAACTTAGTCATCCCATCTTCAGCTCTTATTTTGTCATGAAGCTACTATTCCTAGCTATGTAATTCTCCTGTGAATAGAAGAATAATTTATTTAAATATCTCTATATTTAAAATTCCCCCAAAGAATGAAACTGGAAGTTGGGAAAAAGAATTCTACATGACAAAGTAAAATTATAAGATGGAAAAGTATGGCTAGATATGTACAAAAGATTGAGCTGCATTCCAAATAATGTAGTATTTCAACTAATAAAGTGTTGGGAGCCTGCTGCCCTAAAGGAAGCTTGAGTTTTCTGAGCGTACCTGTTTACTCTGCATACAGAGTTCCAGGACCTAAGAAGTTCTGCAACAGAACTTCCCAGAATTGACTCCTGTTCTCTGAGGACCTGCTGGCTTGTGCACATGTTCCCTACCAATCAGGAAAACTTGTTTTCAGCAATAACTTATTAATCTGGATAAGCAAAAACACAATTGCATGCTATTTTCTTGTCCCTTTGTTCATATCTTTAATAAAAGCTTGGGCTGGGAGAGTGAGAGGCAGAGCTGCTCTCGATGGCACTCTCCCCAGCTTCCCCCCACTGCAAATTCATTTAGACTCCCAGTCTTCCTTAATGCAGAGAACTTCATCAGCTGTCCTGACTGCATCAATGAACTTTTTAAACAGGGAAAAACCCAACATCTAAATATAATTTAGAAGATACAGAGCTATTTTTATTGAACACATCACTATTTCTGAAGTCAATTTCTGAGGCTAATGTTCTTCCTTCATTAGACTACTTACTCGTTGTCCTTTAGGGCCTTGACTCCCAGGTGCTCCTCTTGCCCCCACGTGACCCTACAAGTTGAAAATGTTAAAATAGGTTATAATTCCCAGGAATGTTACCAGAATAATAGTTATAACCTTTATTATTACATTTAATTTTCCTTGGGAATTCATAAAATAAAATTGATTAGTCTCCTTAAAAAATGTGCTTTAGTTACCCAGCAAATACCAAAACCCTCCCTCAATATTCTGCTTTTGACATACTCTACTTGAGGAAATCTCATTTCTAGATGTTTATACTCTGAAACAATGTGAACTTGTTTTTTTTGGATAAGAATGTGGATTTTATTTGCATGCCTAACAAGGTGGCAGCTCTTTCGCTTTCATGAGTGCAGGGTCTGCCATTTGTTCAGGGGGCTATAATTCTGGATGTGCTTGACCTCATGGCCATCTGGGATGAGCTGCTTTTCAGCTACCATGTCTTCAAATTCATCTGCATTAAAATTGCTAGAGCCCGACTTCTTGGAAATATGGATTTTCTGGTGGCCAGGGAACTTGAACTTGGCCTTGTGCTGAGCCTCAATGACATGCTCCTTGTTCTGCAGCTTGGTGCAGATGGACATGATGACTCGGTCAATGTGGCCACTGGCCACAGTGCCCTGGGGCCTCCCAAAGGCACCTTGAATACCTGCCTGGAGTTTAACAATGGGGACAACATGAGGTCAGATATGAAGGACTCCTGAAAAGGGCTGTCTCCACAGTCCCTTAGAGCAACCCATGAAATTAACAGGCTGCATACACTATAACAAGGAAGTTGCTGTTTGCAGCCATGATACAACAGGCCCCCTGGGAAAGAATGTAAAGCTTTTAATGTTCACTGACTAACTAGTTTTCTGAAGGAACACACATGGAATGGTGGTGGAGAGAGACACCACTTGGCTGGCTTAATCCCTATGGTCCATTAAATGGTTATTGCTGCAAGATTCCCCCCCCGCCCCCTGTCACTCTAGATATTTTTGATAATCTCATAATATAAAAGTAGATGTTTTCTGTTATTATGAAAAATGTCACAAATCTTCAAAATAAACATGCCACAAAATTGGCCTGCTATGAGAATTAAGTTATTAAGTCAATTACAATGAATCATTTTATACCTTATAGTCTTAAATGAAGATTTAATTAAAAACAAATTATCTCCATAATACTAGATAGCCAAAATATTAAGTTTTATAGGACTCAAATTTATTTTATCTTGTATGAGTCAAAAGTTTGGCAATTGTGGCCTAGAATAGTCTTCCTAATTTTAGAAGACAACTTAATTTACTAAATATATATTCTCAATACACTAAAAAATTGGACTTATCTTCAAAACAGACAATTCACAAAATAGCATAAACCATTTCTGATAAGAACAGTGTGGTTAGGGATCATAAAGGCTGACCATTTTCATATTTAAGTTTATAAGAAATGTCAGCTTTTGATAAGCAAAATCTTTAGAGTCAAGATTTCACTGTCCCTACAAACAGCAAATGGAGTATTTTTAAAATTAATTTCTGTTTAATAAAGGTATATTTTCTACAAATTATGTTGTCATTTGAGATCTTGCAAATACCATTTATTCAATTGGTCCTTTCTAATCTTGATTACTAACTCAGTTTTCTTTTATGTGGTTATTCAAAAGAAAGTTTAAATATTTTTTAGTACAGGCTGTAAAACTGAGACTGGTTGTACTGACTATTAGAAGTGAGCAGTAAATAATACAGCAAGTAGAGGTAGGAAGTTTCTGATACCAAGACATATTCTAGAGAATTTTGCATTGACTAGGGAGAGAATTAGTCTTAGTTTGCACATTACTTATTTTGCATGAAAACAAAGTTTGGTATAAGCAAAATGATGGGTTTAAATAAACATTCTGGAAGGGGATATAAAGGCTGTGCTATACTTACAGGTAATCCCAATGGACCCACTGGTCCTGGAGCCCCAGGGGGACCTGGATATCCCTGAAAGTTGAGGAAAAAAATATGAAGGATATAAACTCCAGATCATAATAAAATTCATTGAACACAAGTCAACAGATAATAAATGGGAATAAAAAGTGAAAATATGATGAGATGTCCCCTTCCTGAATTCAAGATAAGGAAGACATAGAAAAAGTTTCTCAGACAAGCTATAAAAAATGTTCACATAGAAGCTGGATACCATTTTATTAGAAAGTTTTTGCCCAAAATAGAAAATTTTGAGACAGCATCACATACTATAACCTACTGAGAATATTCATCATATCTTTCTGTAGTTTACAACATGCTATGCATAGATGCATACTGTACAGCTTATGAAAAATATCATTTTCAGAAGTTAGGAAATTTTTTAATTAATTAATTAATTTTATACAAGCACTGGGTACAGTCAGAAGCGCGGGAGGGTGAGAGAATTAGCCAGAGCGGGGAGCAGAGCAGGCAGAAAGACTGAAGTACACTGCTGAGGGGAGCAGCGGGCGGCAGGAGAGGTCTGCACGCCATGTGGGACCCTCCTTTGGTCGCCGGGAACAGCCGGGGATCGAACCAGTGCTGCAGAGGCTGCAGGCAGCTTTGCAACCCAGTGTTCAACCGCTGCACCACCGGGGAGGCCCAGTTAGGAAATTTTATAAATAAGGAATGCAGATGGGCACAAATACTCTGTCAGCTTTTAGAAGGACCACACCCTTTATGGTATTAACACTGTTACAGAGAATGTTTTAGAGCTAATAATTCCTCAATTATTATGATCCTTTGGGCATATTAAATTTTCCAGTTGATACTAACTAGAGATAGCTCAATAAATCTTATTGTGCTTTTTCTGATAAAACAGAAGTTAAAACTGAACAAAAACCTACGTAAAATGAATTTATAGACAGTATTATATGCTACCAGATCACTCATAATTCTGAAAATTATTAAATTGATTAATTTAATTTAATTTAATTTAATTTATTCTAGTTCCTAGCATATTTAGGAATTTTGATACACTAAAAAGTGCAATCCAAATATAAAATCTGTCAACTAGTGCTATCTTAATGATATAAGAAATAATGCAAAGCTTTTAATTAGTTTCCACATAGCAAGGAATCATGACCATAAGCTCATGGAAGAGGGGAAATGGTGATGTGTATTAAGCTACTAATTGTGAGGGATTCCCTGGTGGCCTCGGGGTTAAGTCTCAGTGCTGTCACCACTACAGCCTGAGTTTTATCCCCGGCCAGGGAGCTAACCCACACATAGCCCAGCAGACCTCTCCTGACTTGCCCGCTGCTCCCTTCAGCAGTGTATTTCAGTAGATCTGCCTGTTTTGCTCCCCACTCTGTCTCAGGTGAAGCCTCTTACTTCCTGAACCTCTGGCCTATACCCCCCCAAAAAAGCAAACACTGTTTAAAAATGAACAATGATATAAATGAATTTTATATAAATAAAAAAATTTTAAATTTAAAAAATAAGAAATAAACTACTAATTGTGAAAGATAAGTGGACTCCTAATTGAATTTTATTCCTCATCCATTTTATCTAGTTTATGGTAGTTTAATTCTCTTAAAATTATACACTTATTTGACCAAATCATCTGATTTGCATGCTCTTTAGCTCCATACAACATTCTGAAAGATAAACTGTTTAAAGAAAAAACAGAAATGCTAGCATTATTATTTACTTAAATTCCATTCAAGGCAATTCCACCTCTGGAATGCCTTAACTTTATTGCACTCTTTGGAAATGTGTCTTCAAATCATCAAATTCTTACCATAACACCCTTCTCCCCCTGGGGACCTACTGGACCTGGACTTCCACGTTCTCCCTTTTGAAACAAAGAGAAGACAAATGTTGAGGCATATTATTTAGTCGTGATTGAGTTAAGCCTGGGTGGGAAAATTTCTGTCAGAATCATACCTTATATGCATCTATGATCTTAATTTCTAGTAATTTTTTAATTTACAAATTTTGCACTTGTACCCAAAACCTTGCTAGATTTTTAAGAGACTAAAAATGCCTGTAAGATGTTTTTCAAGGGCTAAAATACTAAAAATCTTATTAAAATGAAAATAGAAATCATGAATTAACAGGATTATCAACCAACCATGCTTCATATACTAGAGCTTTTTTTAGTAAAAATACTTACAATTTTGAGATACATAAAAATACCAGAATAGTACAAGTATCAAATATATTATAAAAAATGACTAATCTGTATAACCATTGAACAAAGTTTTATTTATGCAGTCTACTTACCACACTTAAATGCCACTGAAACAATTATAAAGACTAGACAGATTCACATTAAAATTCCATTACAATAGCCAGACATAACCATGAATACCAGCATACTGGAAATAAAGAGATTGTGTCTGAGACTTGGATCAGGTAAACTGATAGCATATTTTTCTGTCAAAACTGCTTTCTTTGGAGTGTTTGCTCTCATAAGGCAGATACAAATATTTCTAGTCACAAGCCTGTACCATCAGTTTCATATTTTCACTTCAGACCATATTATTACAAAGAATGCACTTCTCTTTAAAATTTGGAGACATATATGGTATTATCTCTATTTCCATATCCTTAAGAGATTCAGCACAGGTAATATAATGATGAGTGATTTCTAATTAACATAAAATGTCATACAAATATTTCTCCATTGATTTGAGCCTAAAAGTTTTACTGCTAAAAAGAATAACGGAAGAAGTTACCTTTTCTCCAATACTTCCAGTTATTCCAACTTCTCCAGGTAAACCAACAGATCCCTTTTAGGAAAAATCATAAAAGAAACTGTATTGCATTGCTATTATGGCATCCTGGTTTTTGTTTATTTATTTTAGCATCCAGGTTTGAAAATTACCTGTAGTCATTATGTTTCTAACTTATCCTAAAATTTATCTTAGAGCAAAATCCTTCCTTTTTTTGATGTCAGTCTGACTTCATATCAGAATTAATCTATTCAGTCCATCAACAAATATATGAATGTCGGATATGTTGACAGTACTTGGGCAGACAATGAATTTCAAATTCAAACACAGTTCCCATCCTTGTGGAATTTATAATCTAGTGGGTATCATAAAAACTTCCAGAGTTAGTTTTCATTTTTGCTTCTTGATGTGGTTACATAAGTTTAAGAAGTCACTACTGCAATTTCCTTCCTTGAAAGTTCCTCAGTACATGAAGGAACGGCACATGCCTTTTATTTCATCCATTCATTCACTCAAGAAATATTTGGTGCACTCTGCCCCAGACATCGTAACAGATGCTGAGATTTCACTAGTGAACAAAGCTATTTAGGTCCTGCCTTCATAAGGCAAAATGTCTTGTAACAGAGGCAAAAACAACTAAATTAAAAGGTGAACAATTACAAAATATAATAGGCTTCTTACTGCAGCAAAACTATGATGAATGATGATGATGAATGATGCAATATGCATTTAAAACTGATAATATCTGGCACTTATTTTAAAACTGATAATAGCTGGCACTTATTTTAAAACTGATAATATCTGGCACTTATTTATCTGAGAAATAGGTGATTTTCTTCGCTTTCTTTTCATCCCTGAGCTAAAAGCCTTACAAACTGATGGAGCCACAGACAAAAGGAAACTGGGATTCTGAATAACTTCATAGGAGAGAGCTATCTGTGAATACCTGCAATGAACTATCAATATAAACAAAAATAACTTTTTGCAAGTTTAGCCAACAACATTTAGGTTTATCCTTTACAGCAGTTTGTTATTCTAAAAATAGGGTGAATTAAAATAAATATTGACATAAAATTGTAAAACTTTGACAGCTAGCTCAATTAGCCTACTTTTCAAGCCATTCTCATAGAAATAACCTCACAAAATATGAGGGTATAAAATGTACTGAACCAAGTTCTGGTCTTTATTTATTTATTTATTTTTAAAATATTTATTTATTTATATAAGCATTGGGTACAGTCAGAAGCGCGGGAGGGTGACAGAATTCACCAGAGCCAGAGCAGGGAGCACAACAGGCAGAAGGACCGAAGTACACTGATGAGGGGAGCAGCAGGCGGCAGGAGAGGTCTGCGCGCCAAGTGGGACCCTCGCCGGCGGCTGGGGATCGAACCAGCGCTGCAGAGGCTGCAGGCAGCTTTGCAGCCCAGCGCTCAACTGCTGCGCCACCAAGGGAGGCTCAAGTTCTGGTTTTCAGATTGCCAATCAACTTGTCCAGAAAATGCAAAGCGATCTGAAGAAAATAAAACTAAACATGTGTATATTGTTCATGTAATAGGCCTGAGTTAGGAGTTATAGAGTATACAGACATAAATAAAATATACTAGAGAGTTCATAATCTAATAACATAAAGTAAATGCACATCTTCTCCAAGTTAAGAGAAGAAAAACAATAAAATCCTAAAGACAAATGAATGGGCAAAACAAAATAAAAATAGAATAGTGGACATTGACTGCAGAACTGAGGTTACCAATGGGGAGGTGGTGGTGTCAGGGTAGAGGAGGTCTTATTAAAAATAAAGTAGGAGAAACAAGCAACTACAAGACAGACACATTAAAAAAAATTAAAAATAGGAAGAGTCAGGAGGAGAATGAGGAATGTACAAATAACAGAAATGAGGGAAGATCAAATATCAAGGAGAAAGAAATCAGTGTTATGTGGGAAGGCTTGAGAAGGATCAATGTTCTGACAGAATCATAGAATTTGGCAGTTTCATGGCTGCTGGTAATCTGTAAGAACAATTCCAGTGGCTTTTGTGTGTTTGGGCCTGTTTGCCAAAGTGTTAAGAAAGTATGGGTAAGAGAAAGTGGGAAAAAATTGTGTGGATTAGTGTCTTAAGAAGTTTGGTGGCAAAAGGGAAAACTGCGTGGATTATTCTTTCAAGAAGTTTGGCAGCAAAAAGTAGTTTGCAAAATTATTCTATTTAGAATCTAATTTTGTTCTGCTTGCAAAAGGAAATTCATTTTCAATTGCAAAATATTCGTTTGAAAAGAAATTATATTTAAAACCTACTTTTTACTTTACTTCACAGGATAATTCTTTTTAAACAAGCTAATATATGGTTCCCTCTTCATTGGATGGGAACCAAAATATTTCTGTCAGTGAAATGGCATTGGCATGTTTTATTTGTTTCCAAGGACCACATGCTAACCAGGTCCCTGCCTCTTATGAGCTTCCTTGCAGCAGAGATATATTGTGAGTTGTAGAACTCACATTAAGAGACAAGTTTTGGACCAAGTTGCCCTATAGTCTTCACTTCCTTATTAGCAGAAGTAGTGTTTAAAAGGACACACTAGAGTATCATGACTTGTCCCAGTTTTTACCCATGAAACCTCAAGTGCTATGTATGCAAGAGTCAAGATTAAAAATTATATTTTGGACTTTAAAGCACTTAAATGCAAGTGAAATGTATGTGGGAAAGGCTGTAATTTTTTTTTTTAATCCTATGGTACTGTAGGAATGATTTTTTTGTGTCTTCCTAATTGCTTTCCTTCATTTCAAAACTAATGTTTAAATCTTTTATATTACTGTATTAGCTGTCTATTGCTGCAGAACCAATTACCCCTCAAAATTAGTGGCTTAAAACAATGAACCCTTTTCTCATAGTTTTTGTCAGTCAGAAAGTTGAGAACAGCTCATTTGGGTAGTTCTGGCTCAGAGATATTCATGAGGTTATAGTCAAGATTTGGAATGAACTGCAGTTATCTGAGGGCTTAGCTGAGACCGCAGAATCCATTTCCAAGAAGGCTGTTGCTGGAATCCTCGGAGCCTCACTGAAGGTTGGAAAGAGGCCTCAATGCTTCACTCCATATGCACTATCTATAGGGCAGTTGTCTTTCCTCAAAGGCAGATAATCCTAAAGAGATACCCACAAAGAGACAGTGATTGGGGAAGAAGCTGCAGTCTTTTATGACCTATCTACACACTGTCACTTTTGCCATATCCTATTCATTAGAAGCAAGTCACTAAGTCCACTCCACACTCAGGGAATAAAATTCAACCTCCACATTTTGAAGGAATATCAAAAATTGCTGGCACGTTTTAAAACCATCACAATAACTAAATATTATTCCTGGCTTGACTTTATCTTTCATTAAAACTTTGATTACTCCCAATAGTTTACAAGGTTCTTCCATTTATTTCCACATTATACATTTCTGCAGGAACATTCTGAATTACTGTTATTGAAACAATGTACATTGTCCAAAAGTTGAAAAGCATGACACTGAACATATATCATGTATAAGGTACCATACCGATCAATTTAGAAATGACTAATAACTCGAATTGATAGCATAAGTTGCCACAGAATAAAGTACTACAGAGCATCAGATAAAGCAAGAATCAACAATTATGACACTGAAGACCTGCTGCCTGGTTTTGCCTGTTTTATTCCATTAGAACATGGCCAAATCCATTTGATTACCTATTGTCTTCCGCCATTTATACCCTAGGAAGGCAGAGTTGAGTAGTTGTGAGAGAGACTGTATAAACCTCAAAGCCCAAACTATTTGTTGGGTATTTAAAGGAAATACAAAATAGACATTGAAAACATAGCCTTCATATATAATAATTGCCAGCAATATATAACATTTTGACAAGAAGTCCAATAAAATGTTTCAAAACACTGATTCCATCGCTTCTTGGCCTTTTGGCTAAGATCAAGTGCAAAACACTGATTCCACATCTAACATACGTCACAGAAAATGACAAAACTGTTAGCCAAAACATCTTGAATGTTAAGAGCTAGACAATTCAACAATGATTGAAAACACTTTTTTTTTTGCAAAATAAAATATGTAACAGGCTATTTAAATATTTTTGTTAGCTAAAGCAGAATTTGGAAGGCCAAAAAGCCTTATGTATAATAAATCACTTGTTAGATTGTGAAGAAATATTTTTTTCAGGTCAGTAAAAACTCAAATACTCTAGCTCAATTTTTAAAAGTAACCACATCCTAATTATTCACTAAGGACACAAAAAATTAGAATATTTCCAAGTTGAAACTAAAATACTCAAAAAATTATATAAAGTTCTTAGACTTGACAATTCTTTAAAAAAATCATTGTGCCTTTACTGTGGTTTAGAACTTCTCTGTATTGTTTCAATTTTCTCTTTCAATGTAGAAACAGCTACATTTACAAGATAAAAGAATTTCAGAACCCGAAGTGCTTCAAATGTATTTGAAAATGCAATATACTGAGCTAATTCTCTAGGATTTAATTCTGTTTCATCTTAGAAACATATTAACTTCAATATTTGTGTTAATCTTACTGTGTTTACTCTGCTTAAAAATAAAAGACTTTTAGAAATCATCTGTCTTGTCACAATAAAAATAATACTGGGTTATACACTAAGAAATTGTTGATTTTTTTTTTTACCTAGGTAATGTTAATTTCATAGGGTTCAATTTATCATAAATTTTGAGGGTAGGAAAAACAGAAGATCATCCAGACATGTTAAGATAACTACTTCAAGTACTACTGGGGATGCATGCTTCCATATGTGATATTTATTTCTCTGCCTCAAGTTCTCATACCTCCATACTTTCGTCTATAGAAAAAAAAAAAAAAATCCTGCCCAAGAAGGCACTAATACATAATCTTGTCTGTCTAGTTAGGTAAGGAGAAAATGAAGGAAGGTGGAAAGAATGTGTAATCTATTTTGGTAAGAAACAGATGAGTACAAGAAACCATTAGGATATTCTGGTAGGAATAGTCACAGCACAATTGAGTATGTGGTCGAGAGTTTAGTTATTTGTGAATCACATCCTTTAAATG